TGTGTGAAGAACATCAAGCAGGCAGAGTTTGGGCGCCGGGAGATCGAGATCGCTGAGCAAGGTAAAAAAAAACAGAGCTGGGGGGGTTCTTGGGGCTTGTGGTGGCCAGGAGCTGTGCTCCCCAGAGCCCAGGAGCTGAGCTGTGGCAACTCCCACACCATCTTAACGCCCCTAAATCAGCAGATTGTTTGAGGAAGAGCTAGACAGAGGCGACAGCAGGCATTAGGGCTGGGTGGAATCCATTTCCTAAGCTCTTGCAGGGCTTCATGTTTGCGGTGGCTTTGGCTGAGGAACCTCAATGGGCAAAAGATCTTGCAACACCTTCGGGGACATGAAAACCGAGAGTCTCAGCCCCTTCCCCTGGGGCCTGTGGGAAGCTGAGTTACCCTTTCCAGTGGGGGGGAGATTGGGTAACTTTGCTTCTGGGCTCCTTTTAGACACAAGCTGCCAACGCCGTGGAAAGGGAAGATGATCCAGGCACATTTAGAGCAGCTCTTCTGTGGCAGCACCATTTTATTCTTCTTTAGGTGCTTCTCCTCGATGCTGTTCTGCTGCAGGGCTGGTGACTGTCCTTAGATGCCTTCATCTAGTGCCTGTCCCAGACCCTACTCGTTACGTGGCCAAATGACACTGGTGTTTAGACCTGGGAGTCTTCTCAGGAGGAGTTTTCTCCCCAGTGTGGGGCTGGATGTAGCCTGGGACACCCCAGGATCTGGCAAAGAAGGGACAAAGCCCTCATTAAAACCCCTTTCTCTTCCTTTTGCAGACATGTCTGCTCTCATCTCGCTCAGGAAACGGGCTCAAGGGGAGAAGCCGTTGGCTGGAGCTAAAATCGTGGGCTGTACCCACATCACAGCCCAGACTGCGGTGAGTGGCTGCTTTTTTGGGGCATCTTGGGGTAGGAAAGAAAGTTTCCCACCCGTGAGCAACTGGGGGAGGCACCTTCTCTTTGCTGGAAACATCTCGGAAAGGTTCTTCCGCCCGTATTTCCTCAGGGTGATGTTTCCTGGAGCTCGATCTCTGATGGGTTCCTTGCTGCCCTGTTCCACAACTGCCTTGAGGGCCCCATGCTGTGCCCATCACCGCAGCCCCGGGCCTCCTGCTCACCCCACTCTCTCACAGGTGCTGATTGAGACCCTCTGTGCCCTGGGAGCTCAGTGCCGCTGGTCTGCCTGTAACATCTACTCCACCCAGAACGAAGTGGCAGCTGCCTTGGCAGAAGCTGGTGAGCACAGCCCAGCCCTTCCAACCCCTCCTGACCCCGCAGCCGCGTCCCACACGCCTGGTTTGAGGGATGGTTCGGCCCAAAAGATCTTTCAGGGAGGGATAAATAAGTCTGGATTTGTTCTGAGCTGTGATTTTGTAGAACCATAGAATGGTTTGGGTGGAAAGGGAGCTTAAAGCCCACCCAGTGCCACCCCCTGCCCTGGGCAGGGACACCTCCCACCACACCAGGTTGCTCCAAGCCCCCTCCAACCTGCCCTTGAACCCCTCCAGGGATGGGGCAGCCACAGCTTCTCAGGGCAACCTGGGCCAGGCTCTCACCACCCTCACACCAAAGAAGTTCTTCCCCACATCTCAGCTCAATCTCCCCTTTTTTGGCCCACAGCTTCTCAGGGCAACCTGGGCCAGGCTCTCACCACCCTCACAGCCAAGAAGTTCTGCCCCACATCTCATCTCAATCTCCCCTCTTTTGGTTTAAAACCATTCCCTCCTGCCCTATGGCTCCACTCCCTGATCCAGAGTCCCTCCCCATCTCTCCTGGAGCCCCTTGAGGTACTGGAAGGGGCTCCAAGGTCTCCCTGGAACCTTCTCTTCTCCAGGCTGAACCCCCCCAACTCTCTCATCCTGAGAGAGCATTTGGTCTCTGTGTGGCCCCTTGGCCCTCCTGTCTGTGGCTTTCCTGCGTTGGCCAAGCAGCAGAGAGCTCTGCCAAGCTCAGCAGATGCCAAGGATGCTCCTCTTCTTCTAGGTGTTGCCGTGTTTGCCTGGAAGGGGGAGTCAGAAGATGACTTCTGGTGGTGCATTGACCGCTGCGTTAACGTAGATGGCTGGCAGGCCAACATGGTAATGAGCCTTCTTCCACCCCTTCTTCTTCCTCCCAGTGGAGTGGGTACTGGGTGCTCCTCACCCTTTCCCTCCCTGGGGCTGGTCCTGGGCTCCTGCTGGGGCTGCCTGGGCATCTGCTGGTGGCATAAAGTCCTCTGAGTCCCCGTTGAAGTGGGATTTCTGGAGAATGGCAACTGGGACTGGGTTGGGGGCTGCTGTGGGGGCTGTGGGAGGTGCAGGGACAGTGTCCTGTGCTGGTGCAGGGCATGGGAGCACCTCCTGCCCCAGCTGCCAACGAGTCGAGAAACCTCTTTCCCCCCAGGGTCAGCCCTATGGGAGCTGCCCCTAATGCTCCTCTCTGGACATGGATCCCATCCCACCTCTCCCAAAGAGAGAGGGGGTTCTGCAGGGGGACCTTTCCCTTGTGGAAAGCAGATGATGCCTCTCGCTGCCTCAATGCATGGTCCCTTTCCCTTGTGGAAAGCAGATGATGCCTCTCTCTGCCTCGATGCATGGTCCATTAGTGATCACTAATGATGTGACAGCCCTTCTTCTCCACTCTTTGCTCTCAGGGCAAGGATGTTGTGTGTCCTTCTCATCTCAGTCTGGTCAGTCAGTGCTGCCTGAGGTCACGTTTCCAGGCTGAAGAGCCATAGCAGGGGCAGAAAACCCCGTTAGGATCCACCAGCTTCATGCAGAGGGTAACAAATCCTCTGTATTTTGGAGGAGACCCCGAATTGCTGGCAATTAGGGGAGCCCAGGAGTCCTGGCCCACAGGCCTCTGCCCAAAGAGCCCCCATCAGCACCTGAAGATGCTCCTCAGCTCTTTTTCCCTCTCCCATCCCCAGTGAATGCTTTTCCCAGTGGAAGCCTGACAGCTCCATGCTCTTCCTTGCCCCTTCTCTAGATCCTGGACGACGGTGGGGACCTGACCCATTGGGTTTATAAGAAATACCCCAACGTGTTCAAGAAGATCCGAGGGATCGTAGAGGAGAGCGTGACCGGCGTGCACAGGTAGGAGGATTTGGGAAGGCTGGTCTGGAGATCTCTTACTGGGTTCCTTTCTCTCTTCTCTGACCTGTCTCTGTCCTCATCCAGGCTCTACCAGCTCTCCAAGGCTGGGAAGTTGTGTGTCCCAGCCATGAACGTCAACGACTCCGTCACCAAACAGAAATTTGACAACCTGTACTGCTGCCGGGAGTCCATCCTGGACGGGTGAGTCCCACCCTTCTCCCCCGTCCCCGTTGTCACTCTCTTACTGGTGGGTTTGGCTCCAGCTCCTCTTGAGCAGAGCTCGGGCTCTTCTCTGCTTTGCTCTTTGCTGTGTGTTTGCAGGACCTGGTTTTGGGGGGGCTCTTGCAGCAGTTTCTGCCCTGTGCTGTCAGCGGGATGCGCTTGACTAATCCCAACACAGGTCTCTCTCTGTCCCCCAGCCTGAAGAGGACCACGGATGTGATGTTCGGAGGGAAGCAAGTGGTGGTTTGTGGTTATGGGGAGGTGAGTTTTGTAAGAGGCCATCAGTGGGGTTGTGACTCAGCTTCCCCCCCCGAGCCATCCTTCCCCTGAATTCAGCATCCTGCTTCTCCCCTGTGCAAAGAGCATAGGATCACAGAATGGTTTGGGTTGGAAAGGACCTTGAAGATCATGTAGTTCCCACCAGGTGGTGGACACCTCCTACCAGCCCAGGTTGCTCCAAGCCCCCTCCAACCTGCCCTTGAACCCCTCCAGGGATGGGGCAGCCACAGCTTCTCGGGGCAACCTGGGCCAGGCTCTCACCACCCTCCCAGCCAAGAATTCCTTCCCCACATCTCAGCTCCATCTCCCCTTTTTTGGTTTAAAACTCTTCCCCCTCGTCCTGTGGTTCCACTCCCCAAATACCATCCCTGGAGGCATCTAAAAGCTGTTGCTGAGGGACACAGGTCAGTGGTGGGTTGGTCAGTGTTGGGTTGATGGTTGGTCTTGGTGAACTTAAAGGTCCCCTCCAACCCAGGGAAGGGGTGGAATTGCCATAGAATCACAGCACGTTTTGGGCTGGAAACCCCTCCAACCCAGGGAAGGGGTGGAATTGCTATAGAATCACAGCACATTTTGGGCTGGAAAGGACCTTAAAGTTTATCCAGTTCCATCCCTTCTAGTGGCTGGGACATCTTCAATGGGGCCAGGTTGTTCCAAGCCCCCTCCAACCTGCCCTTGAACCCCTCCAGGGATGGGGCAGCCACAGCTTCTCGGGGCAACCTGGGCCAGGCTCTCACCACCTCCCAGCCAAGAAGTTTTTCCCCACATCTCATCTCAATCTCCCCTCTTTTGGTTTAAAACCATTCCTTCCTGTCCTTTGGCTCCCCTCCCTGATCCAGAGTCCCTCCCCATCTCTCCTGGAGCCCCTTGAGGGACTGGAAGGGGCTCCAAGGTCTCCCTGGAGCCTTCTCTTCTCCAGGCTGAACCCCCCAACTCTCTCAGCCCCCCCTCCCAGCAGAGGGGCTCCAGCCCTCCCAGCATCTCCGTGTCCCACCGTGTGCCCTTGATCTGGGAGTCAATCAAACCTGGGGAAATCTTGCTGGAACCTGCTGGGAGGCTGGAGAACAAGGCTCCCATTTCCCAGTTTGCCTGCAGATTAGCTGGGCTGCAAATAACGCCGGTTGCTGGGAACGCTGGCCTGAATTCTTAACTACCCAGGGGGGCTCCCATCTGCTGTCCCTGGCCCCAGTTCAGCATCCAGCCCTGGCTGTCACCGAGCCTGTGACAGAGGAGGAGGAGGTGGATAATGTTCTGGCAGAGGGGAATCGTATCACCAACTTGTAAATGCTTCTGCCCTGGAAGAGCACGGAGCCGGGAGCTGACACCTTCCCTCCATCTGTGCACCGTCTGCCTGGCTGTTTATCTTCCAAAGGCCTGGCAATAGCTGCAAATGCTCTTTCCCGGCAGGAACAACGCTTACAAATTTATTTAGACACCAGTAGAGCCCAGTTCTGCTCCACCAAGAGGCTGGGGTGGCTCTGGCCTGGGTGGCTCCTTCTCCAGCCACGGGTTGTGCTGGGAGTTGTAGTCTCCAGCACCTGGCCTGGGGTTACTGGAGTCCTTCGAAACACGGGGGTCCTTCCACCCTCACTGGTGTCCCCTCTGGATGTGGGTTGGAGTCCCAGTTTGCCCTGCCTGGCTGTGGTCAGTAGAGCTGGGTGAGAAGTTGAGGGTGTCTCTGGAGATGGTTCTTATCCCAGCATCAGAAAAGGGGGCTGAGCGTGGGTAGGTGCTCATTACCCAGATGTTAGCAAACAAAGGTCTGGAGAACCAAATCTCAGTTTAATTTTCTAGTGAGAAGAGGGGTAGAGTCAGAGATGCTGGTAGAGGAGCTCTGCTCTCCTCCATGCTGATGTGGGGAGCCTGGGATGGAGGGTCTGTCCCCGATGAGTGCAGGAGAGCTTTGATGTCAAATAAATTCTTTGGCTTGAAGGCAAGTTGGGGAAGTCCATGCTTGTCCAGGCTGGGTCTAATCTCCTCTTGGAGGAGAGCTCAGGAGGACTTCTGTGATGCTGGGGGCTGTGCAGGCTGCGAGGGGGTTGGTTTTTGGGGAGCTCCTGCCAGCTGGAGGACTGGTGGGCCGTGCTGGAGGGCTGGTGGCCATGCTGGAGGGCTGGTGGCCTTGGAGGGGCAGCTGGGCTTTTGGTGGAAGTGCCACTCGCCAGGTACATCACTGAGCTGCTCCTGACGTCGGGCAGATGGCCAAGACGAGCCATCTCTTGGTCTCGGGCATGTTTTAGGGAAGGGGTTGGAGTGTTTTGTGTGTCCTGTGTTCATCTTCACGCTGCTGCTTTGCCTCGGCAGGTCGGCAAGGGATGCTGTGCAGCTCTGAAAGCCCTGGGAGCCATCGTCTACGTCACGGAGATCGACCCCATCTGCGCTCTCCAAGCCTGGTAAGATGTTCCACGTTGTTGGTGAGCATCCCTTTGGCTGCTCCCTGGCCTCCTGTAAACCCTGGCAGAGGCCAAAGAGGAGCCAGGAGGATCTTTGGCTCATCCTGGAGAGTAGACATCTTGTTGGGGGGTGATGGGGAAGGGCTGAGGGGGCAGGTTTGAGGGCTGGGGGGGGTATCCAGGCGGTAGGTCCTGCACCAGCTGGCTTGGGAAGGCTGCTCCAGGGGTCATGCTGAGTTCTCCACATGTCCCCCAGCTCCTCCAATGTTTGAGAGAGCAGGTTGGATGCTGCAGCCTTTCCTCTCGCATCTGGCGTCCCTGGGGGTGTGGAAGGATTAGCCTGGCTGCTGCCCGAGCGGTTCGGAGCTCCTGCAGCCCCGAGATCCCCTCCTGGCCTGGGGCAGAGAGGGCACAAGGCTTCTCCTCCTCCTCATCGTGGCCCCTCTCCCCCTTTTTTGCCAGCATGGACGGATTTCGGGTGGTGAAGCTGAGTGAAGTAATCCGTCAGGTGGATGTCGTCATCACCTGCACAGGTAGGGATGGAGAAGGTGCTGGATGAGGTGCTCGGAGCAGGCTGAGAAGGAGCTGTCATCCCCAGGCGGGGTGTCTCCAGGGCTCTGGGGGAGCTGGGGATGGAGGAGGCCACTTCACTGCTCATTTTAGAAGAGCCATAGCTGTTCTCTGGCAAGAGCTTTTCCTCCTCCCCCTCCCAGTCTTGCTGTCTGGCCACAGTTTTCCTCAGTCCCTTGGGAGGAGGAGGGACATCCCAGCCGTGTGTCCCCAGAGGTGTTTTGGGGACTCCTAGAGCCTGAGATCAAAGCTCAGCCCTCATCCCATGTGGTGGCGTTACAGCCAGGAGGGCTTTCATCCTGGTGGAAGTTCATTTGATCTTGGCCCAGACTGAGCTTCTCTGAGCCAAGCGTGAGGAAGGAGAAATCAGAGGGTTTATATTTCCACCGCCTTGGGCTTCATCTGTGGGGTTTTTTTCTGCAGGAAACAAGAACGTCGTGACCAGAGAACACCTGGATCGGATGAAAAACAGCTGCATCGTCTGCAACATGGGCCATTCCAACACCGAGATCGACGTGGTGAGTCTGCCGTGTGTCCTCGACGGCTGCTTCCTCCCCGCTGTCCCCACTGTCGAGAGGATGACTCCATCCTCTTCCTCCTGCTCTTGCAGAGCAGCCTGCGGACCCCGGAGCTGACCTGGGAGAGGGTCCGTTCCCAAGTGGACCATGTCATCTGGCCAGATGGGAAGCGGGTGGTGCTGCTGGCGGAGGTAACGCTGAAAACCACTCCACGACCTTGCTTTGGGCCTCTGTCAGGAAACCACAGAGAGATAACCAGGTGGAAAGGTGCTAGGAGGAGGTTCAGAGCCCAAGAAAGGGTTCCTTGATTTTTATTTCTAATTTTTTCCCCTCTTTTTGAGGCAGGGGAGGGATCATGTACCACATGCAGTCCCAGAGGTGCCATCTGGCTCCGTTCTTTTGAGCCTTGAGCCATCCCCATCAGCCAAACAGTGTCTCCTTCTGGTTTGGGTTGGGTTCCTGTGCAGCAAACTGGGTGGGTGTCTCCTCTGCCCAGTTGAGCTCTCCTGGCAGTAGGAGGGACTGGCCCTTTCTGGGGACCACGACATTGACCTTAAAGCTAAGGGTTGGGGGGGGAAACTGAGGCAGAGTATGAATGGTGGCTTGTGAATCACCACGAGGTGGTTGCCCCCTGCCCCAGGGAGGGGGTAGAGGGGACTCCTCTCTTGAGATTTAATTATGTTTGGCTTTGGGGGGTGATTTCAGCTCCCTGCAAACCCCTCCTGCTGTCTCCTAGGGCCGACTTCTCAACCTGAGCTGCTCCACAGTTCCCACCTTCGTGCTCTCCATCACGGCCACCACTCAGGTCCGTACGCTGCAGGGCTGGGGGGGGACCCCTGGGGGGGCTTTGCACGAGCCTCAGGGAGGGGGGACAGTTTGGAAGAAGCTGGGAACAGGCAGTTGGATGGGTCCTTTGGGAGGGCAACGTTGCCAGAGATACCGTAGCCACCACCTCCTGGCTGGGATCCAGTTAATGATGGCTTACTGGTTTGGTGAGAGCTGGGAGAGAGCTTTGAAATGGCTTCATGGCAGAGCTCTCCCCTAGCGCAGGTTTCAGCTTTGTCCTTGGCACCCTTCATTTCTACATCGCTAAAAAAAACCCCAAAACAACCCCTGGGGTGAGTTTTGGGGGTCTGCTTAAAATGCTCCCCAGCATCGGTGCTGGTTCAACTGGGGGGGACACGGTGCTCTTTGTCCTGACTCTGCCTGTCCCAAGAAAACCATGATTCTTTGGAAAATGATTTGGCTCCGTGCTCTGATCTCTGCGAGCAGCCGGGGGTGGCGATGGAAGAAACCCCCCCCTGGGCTGGAAACTCAGGAGAGGGACTGTGAAGTGGGGGGGACACGACAGCCACCCTGAATGTGGGGAGTTTCCTTGTCCTCACCCTCGTCACTGGCGGGGACCGGGGCTGAGTTTTGGTGCTTGAGGGAGACGTGGTTTTATTACGACAGCCACCCTGAATGTGGGGAGTTTCCTTGTCCTCACCCTCGTCACTGGTGGGGACTGGGGCTGAGTTTTGGTCCCCGCTCTCAGCTGCGTGAGCTGGTGCTTGAGGGAGACCTGGTTTTATTTCTGCTGAATTTCACTGAATTTCACTGAATTTTTAGAGTTGGAAGGGACCATAGAGATCATCTAGTCCAACTCCCCTGCTAAAACAGGACCACCCAGAGCTTGTCAGAGCATGTTACTCAGGAGCATCCAGGCAGGTCTTGAAAATCTCCAAAGAAGGGGACTCCACACCCTCCCTGGGCAGCCTCTTCCAGGGCTCTGGGGTTTTTTGGAGTGATGCCACCAGCTTCAAGCGAGAGATCCCTTCATTTCTGCCTGACACAGAGAATTTCAGAGAATTAGGGCTGCCCCCCCTCCCCCTCAACCTCCTCCATCCTCCTGTTCTGATTTTCCCTGGGGCGTTAAAGCCCAGATGCTCCAAACAAACCGGGTGGCATCTCGTGGTCACCTCTGGTCCTCCCCCAGTGGTGGTGGGGTTATGGAGACCCAGATAAGGACATACCTTTGGTTGGAATCCTTTCCTTTAAGGCATTTTGGGAATGGTTGTCCCCTCCCTCAGGCTCCCAAACCCTTATCTCTCCACTTTGTGCCTCTGTGGGTGTTCAGCACTGCCCGGCTCGGTGGCCATCCCTGACTGTCCCCTGGCTGTCCCCTGTCATCCCTGCAGGCTCTGGCTCTGATTGAGCTTTACAACGCTCCCGAGGGCCGTTACAAACAGGACGTGTACCTGCTGCCGAAGAAGATGGGTGAGTGAGGGGGGAACCCAGGCTGAGTTACCCCCCAGGGGCTGGTGGGGGTCAGCGGTTTTGGATGTCAGGGTAAAACCCAAACCTGGGCTGGGAAGAAACTTCCAGAGAGAGAATCACAGAACCACAGAATGCTATGGGGTTGGAAGGGACCTCTGGAGACCATCTCCTCCAACCCCCTGCCCAAGCAGGGCCACCCAGAGCAGGTCCCACAGGAACATGTCCAGGTGGGTTTGAAGATCTCCAGAGAAGGAGACTCCACCACCTCCCTGGGCAGCCTCTTCCAGGGCTCTGCCACCCTCAAAGTGAAGAAGTTCCTCCTCATGTTGAGGTGAAACTTCTTATGGTCAAGTTTGAGCCCATTTCCTCTTGTCCTGTCCCTGGGCACCACTGAAAAAAGACCAGCCCCATCCTCCTGACACCCACCCTTGAAGTATTTATAGGTGTTGATCAGATCCCCCCTCAGCCTTCTCTTCTCCAGACTAAAAAGCCCCAAGTCCCTCAGCCTCTCCTCATCAGAGAGATGCTCCAGGTCCCTCATCATCTTTGTAGCTTCTGCTGTCCCCTCTCCAGCAGTTCCCTTCCCTTCTGGAACTGGGGAGCCCAGAACTGGTCCCAGTGCTCCAGATGTGGCCTCCCAAAGGCAGAGCAGAGGGGGAGGATGAGTTCAGAGAAGCCAGCAGAGGTGGCAGCCTTAAAACACAGGCAGGTTATTCGATTTATTTTGATTTTCCTTGAAGTTCTGCCACGTGGGGGACACCCCTTATCCTGCAGCCTTCCCCCTCCGAGGTTCTTCCTGCAACCCTTGTGCTTTTGGGTGCCCATCCAGCCCCACGGCGTGAGATGGCAAGGGCTGCTTGGCCAGCCCCACCGTGGGGTCCTGACCCTTCTTGTGCCATACGATGAGTCCATACATCATCTCCCCAGCGTTGCAGGGGGGGCCATGCACCCCTGACCCCCCTTCTGTCCTCTCCCCCTTCCCAGACGAGTACGTGGCCAGCCTGCATCTGCCTTCCTTTGATGCCCACCTGACAGAACTGACGGACGATCAGGCCAAATACCTGGGACTCAACAAAAACGGGCCTTTCAAACCCAATTACTACAGGTGGGTGCCACTGGGGGTGTCCCCTGGCAGTGGGACAGTGTCACCTCCCAGGGTTGTCCCCCAACCAGCCTCACTGTCCCCTTCCCCTCTCTTCCAGATACTGATGGACCATACCCATGAAGGACCAGACCACACAAGGCAACATTAGAGAGATTATTTTTAAAGATCGTTTTTATTTTTGGTTTACCTTTTTCTTTCTTTTGTTCTTTTCTTTTTTTTAACCAACAAAACAACCCGTTTTTACATTTTCCAGTGTGATTTTAAGGTCACCTTTTGGGTTTCCCCCCCCTCCCTCAACTTGGGTTTCACATCTCTGTCTGATCTTGGCAGACAACCTGGGATTCGCTTCTCGCTTTTACGTGGCTGAAGCCGCCACCGGTGGCTCCTGGAGAGGGGTATTTTGGTTTTCCCCCTTTCCTGATGTGCCAAGGGCACTTCATTCCTGCAGCGATATTTTTTATTTCTATTTTATTTTCTTTTTCCCACCTTTCCAGCCCGCGTTAGTCTCGGCCGGGATCCCTGCAGATACGGAGATGCTGTTCTACCTTATTTTTAATTTTTTGTTGGGTTTTTTTTTTCTTTTTTTTCTTTCTTTGTGTGGATTATCTGCAACTTCTAAATTATGCCTTAAAAGAGCCCAGTTTTTAGCTGCTAGATCAACGCTCCTGGCGCTGCTTGGGAGCAGAGTGGCGCCTGCTGGCCACCTCATGAATAGGTGACTGTCCCCAAGCCCGGTACGCGTCCCCTACACCCAGGTGGCCCGGGTTTGGTGGCCACTGGCCCTAGGTTTGGTGGCCAGCTGGGTACGGAGGGGAGTTCACTGTTTCAGGGTGCTAATCTGAATTCGGACGGGGGTCGCTTACCCAGCATTATCCTCATCTCTCCTAGGTTTTTTAGCCAAACTGCACCTTAATTGAGTTAAAACCATTTTTTTTTTTGTCTGTTTGTTTGGTTTTGTTTTTTTTTTTTTTTCACGTCTTCCAAGTCTAATTCATGTTAAAGCAAGCCGGTGGAGTCCGGCCTCTCGCCGCCTCCGAGCGGCCCCATCTCTCACTGAGAAGCTCGGGGTGGTTTTAAGGGTGTCTGGGGTGGTTTTTTTTTTGGGGGGGGTGTTTCACTACTTCTTTCCAGACGGATGCAGAGAGGAGCCTTCCCCCGTACCCCACCCTGGGCCCTCTGCACCCCCGACCCCTGCTCAAAGCCCCCCCTGCTCCCCCCGGGGCTCCCTCAGCTCTTCCCTCCCCCTCTCATCGCCTCCTCCATCCCTTTCCCCGTGACGTATTTCTCTTTTTTTCCATCTCTTGCAGCTTGTCCCGGGACGGGGGAAGCTCCTTGCAACCCAGTGAGGTTCCTCTTGGCTTTTTATATTATCTTTCCCAAATTGCCTCTTTATTTCCCCCCGGAGCATGGAGGGAAGGACACCCCCCCCTCTCCAGCTGCCCGCATCTCCCAGTACAGGGATGATGGAGATGCTGGTGGTACCCAGGACCGGGGCTGCTCCTTCTCCTCCGACCCTCCCCTCATCCCGGTGTTTTACAGTGGGGGGGGGGAGGATGCGGCTGCCTGTGGAGTCCGGGCTCTCGCCGCCTCCGAGCGGCCCCATCTCTCACCGAGAAGCTCGGGGTGGTTTTAAGGGTGTCTGGGGTGGTTTTTTTTTTGGGGGGGGTGTTTCACTACTTCTTTCCAGACGGATGCAGAGAGGAGCCTTCCCCCGTACCCCACCCTGGGCCCTCT